TTCTTCAAATCGTGCTTGATGTTCTGTATTCCATTCAAAATTATTTTGTTGTCTAAGTATGTTATAGAATGGTCGTAGATATAATTGCATTTTATAAACATATTTGCTTAAAAAGTTTAACATTCCAAGGAATTCTTGGATTTTCTTTTTATTTGTTGGTGGTTGGAGTTTTTGAATAGCGTCTATACGTGATTTCAATGGAGTGATTGTTTTTCTTTCTATATTATGTCCTAAGAATTTAACTTTTGTCAAAAAGAAGTGTGATTTATCGGGGGCGGCCTTCAGATTTTCGTTCTGAAGTATTTGGTGATATTGTTCTAAAACATTGAACATTTCCTCTTTTGTCTGTGATTGCATAAAAACATCGTCTAAATAGGTGATTGCATTTTTCTTGAGTATTAGTGGTCGAAAAATTTTGCTCATAAAAGCTGAAAATGCTGCTGGTCCTATGGATATTCCATAGAATAAGCGGTTGAATTCGTATTGTTGGTTTCCAATAACAAATTGTGTTAAGCGTCGTGATTGTTCATCTAATGGCATTTGATTATATGCACTATTCATATCGGCGGTGGTAAAGTATTTTCCGTTTATTTTTGTTAAAATAACTTGTATTGGTTCAATGGGCCAATTACACTTTGATTCATCTATGAGTGAGTTGAGGTATCTAGCATCGAGAACAATTTTTAATGATTCTCCTTTGGCTAGAATGATAACAGGGTTGATAGATGTGTTGTCTTTTGGTTGTTCCTCTTTGTTTACTGGTGATATAATGTTGTATTGTTCTAAAATGTCGAGTAATCTGTTCACTTTATCGTGTAAGTGAATTGGTACTTTACTTGCTCTTTGTTTTTTGAAAACTGCGTCTGGTTTTAATGGGAGATGTAGTGATGAGCTGATTTTGCCAACATCAAATTTGGATGTTGCATAGACTGATGAATATTTAATTAGCTGTTTTGCTAGTTTTTCAAATTCGTCTTGTGTTATTTGTGAATGTTGGAAATTAAACATTGTTAAAAATTTCTGTTGACTCTCTGTGTAGTTACTTATGTTGAATGTAGGTTTGAAATATGGGGTTTTTGTGAAATAATCCGTATTTTTGTTTTCGTTACTTATTATACTATTTATAGATAATTCTTCATTAAGAATTGTGGATTGGCAAATATCTAGTAATTGGAGTATATTATTTACACGATATGCTTTTTCGTGTATTGGTGATATTGTAGCGTTGGTTTCGCAATAGCCTAAAAGTCCTAAAGGTAATGTTACTTGGTAAGGTGTATTGTTGTATACATGTAAGGAAATAATATCTGAATTCGAGTTTTTCAAATATTTTATTGATGAGATTGTGATTTTGAAAAATTTATGAATAGGTTTGAATTCAAAATCTGACATATAAAATTTTTGTTTGTTTTGTTTTTTATCATATTGGTGAACTTGCTTTATTGAAAAATTGTATATGTTTCCTGATAGTGGTTTCAAGTGTTTTCTTTGTTGGTTATATATTGGATAGAATTTTGAAAAGAATGGTGGTTGTTTATTTAATCTTTGAAAAAATGTTAGGGATGTGTCTTTTCTTTTTGTATATTTATCTTTGATTAATATTTTACTATTCAAGATGTTGATTGTTGGTATATATTTAGAGATAAATGGTATTCCAATGATATTGTGTTTAATATCAGTGATATGGAATATTTGTTTAAATGGTTTGGTTAAAATTTTGTTTTGCTCCATTGTTCTTGTGGGGAGAAGAAATAATTGAATTTTTCCGTAGTTTATTAATGTTGATCCTTGTGCTGTTGCTAGTTTGCTGGAGGTTTCAAGAGGTGTTAGCTTTGGGTGTAGGGTTTTTATTTCATTCCATGTGGGAATGTTTATTATATTTGATTCTGCTCCTGAATCAATTAAAAAATCAATTTCAAGATCTGGTGGTTGAAATTCTTTGCTTCTTGGACTTTCTAAAAGAAATGGTATTGTCCAAATTTTTTCTTTGGGTTGTTCTTTTTGTATGTTTTGATAGATGTGATTTGTATTCAAGCATTTTGTTTTTTCGTTCTCATTGGCTTGAGCCTCTCTTGGAAGCCTCGGGGGAGCGTAACCTCAGGAGCATTGAAATCACCCATGGAGAATGCCCATGCCACTGTTTAGCGCAAACGGTGTGGTATCCAGATCACAAGAAACTTTGCCTGGTGTGGGATATGGAAGAAATCCGGTCGATCGGACTACCGGATCACCGACAGAAGGTGACGATCTTGGTAGTGAGTACGATCTTGGCTCTGAGATGGATAGAAGAGAATATAACGAAGTATCGGGAAGCGGGGACGCCAACGGCAGAGTCAATATACGCGATAGGTTACAGTAGGAGACTCGAGTTGTTTGAGACTGCGTGCAAGGTATTCGCCATACCAACGGAAGTCAGACATGTCTGGAGCCGTTTGAGGTACTTCCCATGGTTTCGGGCGACGCTGACGTCCTGGTTGTACATGACAACGAAAGATCACATGAGAAAACATCAAAAGGAGTATCGACAGTTCCAGGCCGAGATTGGGCCGGAAGCTTTCAAGAGACCCCTGTTAACCCATCGTAATGCAATCACGACAGGATGGAAGAGAGTGGGTAAAATGTCTAGAGACAATACCAAGGCGAGGGAATCGATACTAGAGGAGGACCTGGCGAAGAACGTGAGCTTGAGCCTGCACAACTCCTTTTGTTTGAACCGGGAATCTAGGGTGAAGGCACTACCCAACCAAGCAAAGAGGTTGCAAGAGCAAAGAGAATGGATGCGATCCTACGAGCAGCTGAAGGCTTGGGAGGAGATTGTGATTAGCTCCGATGATGAAGAGGAACTGTTGAGACAGTTTGCCGTATCTAGTACTTCAGGGTGCAGTACCTCCAAGGCGAAGAGTGCGAGATGAGCAGGTGGCTCGAATGGATCTTGAGTCTTGAGAGGGAAAGGGGGGCTTGAGCGTGGATCCGGGTGAAACTTGGATTCACGAAAAAGAAGTTTTAACAAAGCAAATATTGTTATTAATATACTATATTTATTATATAAATCAAAATGCTGCATGACAATTTCCTGGTTGAATAGGACAAAAGAAATTTTAAATGATTGGCTTGGAAAGCAAGAATTCAAGGGTGCAGGTGTGTGCAGATTTTGATTGCTGTTTAGCGATAGTGTGAAAATTTTACATGGCTGTGAATTTTGGGGTGTAGATAAGCTTAAGTCTGCTGCAAACTTCTGTAAATGACCACTGGCACTGTATCTTGAGTAACACTCGGTTTTCTGGGATTCACTGGCAGAAGACAGCACGCGATGAGGACATCGATCTCGAGTCCGGGGAGTATGTGCCAGTCGGTCATATTCGGAAGTTTGACCTTGAGAGAAGAAAAAAACACTTGATTCGTGAATTTCATTTCCAGTTCCAACAGTTTGGTTTTTTTAGAGTCAAAAGTTTAAAGTTCAATCGCTCAAAAAATTCTCCCAGAACTGGTAGAAGTGAAATTGGTCTATAGTCTGATGGGTCATCGATTTAGGTCAATGATGGGTCATCAGATCTTTTTTCGTCGCGCAAAGTCAATCCGTACCCATTTGAGTCACTATGGTCGCATACTCGTTTGGTGTTGCAGGGGTCGCGAAAAAACGCCCGACTTCTGATCGGGAGCCTAGTAAGAAAAATCGACAATAAATTTAATAGAGGGACAAACTCTGCTGATATATCAAAATAGGACCAAATCTGCCAATGGATTCATAAGACAAAATCTGTCGTCAAGAGGAAACCTGTTTGCACCAAAAACTAGCACGAAAAAACCAGATGCAAAAGTTTAGCTTAACAAAAACAGCTTCCATAAACCTTAAAAACCATCAGAAATCTCCTAGTTTATGCGATTGTTCAGAAAAAACAAGCATATATGTAACAGAAAATAAATTGAAGATTTGAATTTAATCTGATATACATTTTGATTGAAATAAATTAGCTCAAAAATTGATATCGAAGGTTGATTGCAGTGAATTAAAATCTACAATTGCACTGAAATTGGAACATTTAAACAAAAAACGTAAGACAGGATACGAATAAGGGGTTCAACAACACACTAAATTCTCTTTTTAGTGTTTTCCGTATCAAATTGGTAATTTTCATCAATAATTAATTATCATCAATTTCTTGAAAATTGTGCCAGTCGGTCATAATCGGAAGTTTGACCTTGAGAGAAGAAAAAAACACTTGATTTTGGAGTGAAATTTAGTTTTTCAAAATTTCGAATGGAACCTGTCATGCACGATTTTCTCGCGATAACTGAAAATCAGAAAAAGAGAAGTCAGAACAATCGAGTAACAATCGCGGGAAAGTTGCTAAATAAAACGGTGGGAAATTGCTATTCGCAATTTCTGTCACAATAGAACAAGAGTAGAGCTGTCCCATCTAAAACAGAGACGAGAGCATTCCCACGAACTGGATTGTTGTGATTGGAGTACTATTATTAACTGGACCAGAGTGAACCTTCGGTGGAAAGGTGGACAGCTAGAGTGTCCCAATGGTTCACGAGAACTTACAGTCTAGAGAAAAAACTTGTTCTTATTATTAAAACTGACTAACATTAAACTCATTTTAGTTACTTTATTAATTCTTGAGTTGCTTACCGACTTATTTACTTCCTGGTTCTTGAGCGTGCTACAATGTGAGTACTTAGTTTAAATTCCTAGAGTGTGTTTTATAATTGTTATGTTGAGGTAAGGCGAGTTTTAGGTTGATCCATCTGAAATGGATCAAAGTTCCACTGTCTAATAAAAAGTAACTTAACGGATTGTTCCAACCCGGTTTTTAACGGCGTTCATGTATTTTGGGTATCTAGAGACCTAAGTATGGGGACGTTTCTAATTCTAGAGTGGGGGGATATTTTAGTAGTAGCCTTTAAGCTGTAACGGGTCGTAGTCTCATGTTACAAACGAACCGAACTGGCTCCGACCGTTCTTGAGGTAGAAAAACACAAGAGATGGTGTCCCTGACCCTTGAGCCAGTGGTTATAGGGCCTATTTTTCTTAAGCCTCATGTGTGACTGCAGTAGACGAATGTTACAAATATTGTTTGAGTAGATTTTAAGGATTCAGTTTTCTTGGGATTCGTTTTCACTGGAATAGAAGTACATTATATATTGTGTCAGAACCACTCTCAGATGAAGCATTGTAAGCACTATTGGATGACGAAGACTGCATCGTGTCGTCTATGCCTCGACCAATCAGAAGCAAGTACGACTTATTCAACGTCATTGTAGAAGTAAAAGTTCTTGCCACACTCTGCATTCGGTTTTTGTTACGTAATGAGGAACTGTTCGCTAGACCTCGGCCTAGAGGCGTAGCCGAGTTGCTTCCGACAGCGGCGCCATTGTTTCCCGAATTTCGCAGAGGTCGTCGGGGAAATCCGAAGTCAAAGTCACTTTTTCTCTTCACTTGGGATTGATACGTGAAAGGGTGTATGAACTTCACCTGAAATGATTGAGGGTTCAATTTACATTGGCAAAATGACGAGCTGGATGTGATATTAAAAAAACAAGTAAATGTGATTCTCAAAGACATGATAGGACAATACAATCTCCATGATATAACTCAAAATTTATGAACCGTAGGACAGAATAAATACCTGTTAATTGTCAATTGCATCGCTGAAATAACATCTTCGCGAATTTTAATCTGGAAGCTAAGACCTTCAGAAAGATCGAAGGTGAATTCCCATAGGTTCCAATATTCATAGGTTCCAAAATAAAAAATCAGTCGCATAAGTTCCAAAATTTATCTTCTTGAATTCTGATTGGTTGAAATTTGAGCCAACGAATTTATGGATTAATTGTTTACTGTTCAACCAGCATAAACTCAAGCTGCAGAACAGTGACTGCCGCAGCCGCGCCAACGTGTTGCGAGCTTGCCACCAAAGGGTAGGATTCTATACGAAATTTAGAGCCGGTTATTGCCGCGAAGCCCACCGGCAACCTTAAGCCGAGACTCGGCTAATTTAGTCTTTTGACCGATTGAAAAGATTTGGAACTTATGCGACTGCTTTTTTATTTTGGAACCTTTGGGACTGATTTTTTATTTTGGAACCTATGAATACGCACCAGATCGAAAAACACCAACAACTTTGCCGCTTGATTCAGCTATTTCGGTGGCGTACCTCACGCTTGAAGGACCGAATGCTTGAAATCAATTTTAGCTTCCTTTGAGCCAATCAGAATTGAGTATTCAAAATATCAAAGTAAATCGCAAAAATCACAAAGTAAGAAAATAAATCCAGGCAGTTAAGGTTAATACTGACCGATTAGATAATAAGCAGATGAGTTTTCAAATATTACCGGATCGAAGGTGGATTGGAACAAATTTAATATTTCAAAGATACCGATTTATGAAAAATGGAAAAACAAACAAAAAATAAAATTTATTAGATCTGCACGAATTGTACAGCTTAAAACATTTTCTGTTTTTTTTGACTTCGATTTTGTGGGAAAGGCATTTAGCCAATAAGTACGCTTAGAAATTTTGATTTGTTGAAATTTTTCAAGCATTCGGTCCTTCAAGCATGAGAACCCTCTCCGCTATTTCGAACTTACAGAAAACTTAAGATATTGATTGGTTGGTCGGTCAACATATGATCAAAAGGCCGTTATTCATCCAACATTTTCGTTATAATTTTGTGATTAGCAAGAGTATTAAAACTATTACTAGAATTTTCTCATTAGGAAACTTCGTTCGCAGAACTCTTCTCGGCTTAACTTTCTAGCATATATTAAGGGGCTAGGTCTTTTACCAGACCTACTTTTTACCAGACCGACCTTTTACCAGAACAAAATGCATTAATTCAATTGAAATAAATTAAATTAGTGGAAAATTTGAAACGGAAGCGGTTACATCAAACAAAACTTCGCTGAGAAACCGTGAAAACATTGTCTTTAACCGGACTAAACGGCGTCATTACATCTGTCAATCAAATTTGTTTATCGAGTCTGGTAAAAGGTCTATGTTGGTCTTGGTAAAAGGTCGGTCCCCATATATTAAGTTCCAGTTACAAACATTGATCCTATGGCGCAAAGTAAACGTCTAAGCTTTGGAGGTGAAAACTCACTGGTTCGAGCTCGGCTAGGAACTATAATTTTGCAAATTGATGTAATTACCGTTTTTGACATGTAAATGTTGCAAAAAAGGTTTATAAATTTAATTTTTGTCCGAATTGTTTTGTTTTATTTCTAGTTTGCGTCAATTAAACAATATCGGCGTCTGGTCTGCTCAAATCGATTTCCCGTGTTGACTTCGATACACAAGAAAGCGTATCACACAATTTCATGCAATTAAAAGGCTTGTCACAAAATTCCATACATGGAAGGGGTAAAAAACGCATATCATAAAATTTCCTGTATGAAAACATCATGATGAGCAATTTTTTTTAAGATGACTAGAACAATTTTCCGAAAAGTTCCAAAATTTTGGGTGAATTTTTAAAATAGCAAAATCACTTTACGCTGAAGCAAACATTCACCGAAAAAAAAATTGCATGCGATTTTGTGTATAACGTACTCCAGGCTGAAATTTTGTACAACTGAATTAAAAGTGACTATGAATTTTTGGGTGAATCGCAGTTAAACAATTTTCATGTTTTTTAATAATAAGATATTTTTTATTCAGTCAAAATATAGGCCACAATTTGAAACCACCAAATTTTTTGGAGTAAATTTTTTTTCTAGCCATATACAGAAAGTTATGGTTTCTAGTTACAATTCTGAGTGAAATTTGATTCATTAATATTCTTGGCAAATCTACAAGTGCAGTTCATTTAATTCATTAAAAATCTTGGAAAAACTACAAATGCAGGTGACTTGTGTGATTCTTACCTTTTAAGATACGGGTTTTCATGCGTAACAGAAAACGATGGTTATTGTGTTTTTGGACTAAACACATGAAACAAAACGAAAATCGATTTTTTGTTTCATAGAAACGTGCTTGTCAAAAATTTGCTGATATAGAAAAATCGTTATGATAAAAAATCGATGAAAAAAATGCTGGTCGTACTGTTTTCATACAATTATTTGTACATACGGAATTGTAAAAAGTTGCTTAGTTAACACTTTTCCAGATATGAAATTTGTATGGCAAGAATTTTGGCCAACCCGGCTCGTTTGAAGAGGCGATTTTGTTCGATGGGTGTTTGGTTTAGGATGAGGAGCTAAATACTTGAAACTCGAGTAAGCTATTTTTTCGTGAACTTATTTTCAACGCTATTTGACGCTAGCAAATATTTTCTTGACGTGTTTATAGATTTACTAAGATTTTAGTTAATCCAGTTTCACTTTTTTGTCAATTTTTTTTGACTTTGTAGCCAATTTTATCGTCTAACTTGCCATTCTATGCATTCGGTTAGGTAGTTTGAAAAATGGTCATGTGGCTTTTTGTCATTTTAGTCAAAGAAAAGTATTATGTAAGCTCAATGAACTTTCTTGTAACGTTAGGATTCTTGTTTAGAACATAGATATTTTTTGAAAATTCCAACGGGTTGAAATAACTATGTGCTGATTGAGTAGCTTTTGAATCAAATGGCTAGAGTTGCCACGAAATCTCATTTAACTCATTCTAGAGAAAAATTAAAATTATCCCAACGTGAGCATTTTTTTTGCATTGAATAATAACAACTGCCATTTCTTTTTGTTTTTAGAGATGAAAACAGCGTAAAACTTTGTTTTTCGATCCTTAGTTTTGAGAGGAAATTACAATTGTTTTTATATTATGAAATTTTTCTAACGAAAAATTTCAATTAATTCACGAAAGCTAAAAAAAAAATTGTTGAAATTTTCTGTACATTTTTCATATTTTGAGTATCCAACAGAAAAACAAATCACCTCAAAAACCTCTAAGTTTCAATAAACATATAATCTTGATTTTTTCCGTTAAAACCAACCCAGCCCGAGAAAACTCGACCGAGTTGCGATATATTTAAATTGGATCTTAATTTAGAACTGCAAGTCATTTATTCAGCGTGCCTATTTGTAATTAAACAAATGATTTTAAGGCGAATCATAAAAAAAATCAGAAATCAGTTAGCTTGAATAAAAATTTAAGCCTGAGAAAAATTTTAGACGTTTCTGAAACAATACAAAAAGCAATCACATATATGTCTCAACTTTTTGAGTTTTTGAGGTCAGCTTCTTTTTTGAATTATTTTACCAGATGCAGTTGATTATTTTCACAAGTCTTTAGCTTGTGCAGATATGAATGAAGTTTCAAATAGTACAGAACTTTTGAAAAAGCTTAAGACCTTTGGGCAAAAAGTCATCTGCTCAAATTACTCGGCTCGTTTTTCTGCTAACTCTTAGCAGGAAACTGTCTGATGCTCAAAAACGTAACAAAAAGCTCAAAATGACTTGAAAAGCAAATTTTTCTTTCCAAGCGACAGCCAGGTATCATTCAATGCAAGCATATCTTTTGATCACATGTTTAATGAAGTCCTTTAACTTAACGGATTTTCGAAAAATACAACGTTTCTAAAGTTTTAAAGTTGTCCTTTTTGATGTTGTTTTCCTCTTCGTTTTTGATTTTGTCGCAGGATCCTTTTGAATCATTTCAATTTTTGCAATTTTCTCTGATAAACATTTCCGTTACTTTTTCAAAAACCGTAACTCAATGAGAACTATTCAATAGTAGTTAATTTTACATGGCATATTTTTGAGTTTCAAGTGGCGATAAGCCTCGCGCCTTGCTTCGCCTGCGTGTTGAAGCTGATCACGTTTATTCCCGAGAGAACAGTCTTACTTTTTTTCGCTTTTTGAGGCTATGTGTCTGTGCACGCGTGTCCGCATGTGTAGGGGGGGGGGTCGAAATTCATCTATAAATTAAAAAGGCCATACCGGTCCAATATGTCTGATAGGCAGTATGGCGATGTTGACGGAGTTTCTTCTCAGTCCAGCCGTCCCCCCAGCACCACCACTCCTACTTGGACATCCCGGGGGGTTCCCCACAGTGCCCGCACCACCTAACAGACAAAAAGAGCAAATAATTCAGTTTGATCGGAGGCTATTCTCATGCGCGAAAACTGTCGGATCGGAGGCTATTCTCATGGCGAAAACTCTCAAACCAATCCTGTCCGAAATGGGAACCGGCTTACTAGCATACGCAACTTATTCCCATATCGGACAGTTTGAAAAGAGCTGATTGGTTCAATAATTAAATTTTCGCGCATTCGACCCTTATATCATCGTGGGTGTGGCCTCTTGCATGCGAGCCGCTTAACATGTGCAATAGTGAGTTTAAGCCAGAGGTAGCTTTCTCATAGAGTAATTTCAGATAAGGTACGCCGTCTGTTTGTCACGCTGTCTTATTTTCGGCCGGATAGATTCGTGCAACTTCTTAGTCTAATAACAATCTTAATCTTACTCTTATATCTCCTAGTCTCAATAGATCTAGTGTTTACTGGTATTCGCGCGTTAGTCTTTGAGCTTGTCCCAAAGGCGAACAACTGTAGTCTATGATTTATTCAAATTGTTCTGGTGCTGAAATTTCAAGTAGTTTCAGCACTTACAAATAATTGCCAGTGTTAGTAGTGGAATATGATTGGTTAGTTAGTAATGGGGGTTAAGAAATTAGACGACAAGCAAATTAGACGGAGGTACTGAAAACGAAATTAGACGGTTTTGTAAAACTGCAATTGTGAGAAAATAGACGAAAGTGAGAGAGATTAAAATTGTTTGCAGACAAACTGCGTGAGAAAAGTAATATTGTTTGCAGACAGTTAAATTTCGGTAGCCAAAAATGCAAAATTTCAAAAAAGTTTCATCGAAATATCGAGGTGGACAAAATCTTAATACCGACGAAGGTTATAGATTTAAAAAAGATAGCAAAACCAAATTTGGTTGTCCTTATTGCTGTGTTATCTCCAATTGCTTCGGAAGATTAATGACAAATTTAGAAATTACAAAAATTATTCGAAAATCAGGCAACCACAGTCACGAACCCGACCTTTTGTACAACGACGAAGAAAATTTTCGCCAAAATATTCTGACCAAAATCTAAAATGATCCGACAAAATCGGTGAAAAATGATTTACGACGAGCAAGTTAAACTGAATCCGGAAATCGGAAATCCACCGGAGTTTCACAAAATTAGCAGCGGGATACTAAAAAACGAACTCGAATTTCGCCAAAACTTCCGATAATTTTACAGAATGGGAAAATAGATGGTATGTGAAGTAAAACGAGCGATAATCAAGATTTTGTGTTACATCAAGATGTTGGATTAGTGCTTTTTTGTTCGCTAAAAAATCTGCAATTTTTGCAAAACCCAAAAAATTTTATAAATTGGATGAAACAAAATTGTTTCATCAAATTTATACAATATCCAGTGTAGTGCAAGATCAAAAAATCCGTCACTTTAGGCTCTGATGTCCGAAAAAACAGAGGAAGCTTACCAAAGTTTGTTGGAAAAAATTGACGAAAAATGTCAAGTTTTTTTGTCGAAAATTTTTGAACCAGGTTTTATTATATCCGATTACGAGACGGGTTTCATCGCCGCAGTGAAAAAATTGATGCCACAAGTCGATCAATTGGGCTGTAATTTTCATTATACTCAAGCAGTTTTCCGAAAAAATCAAATTTTTGGTCTTATTATTGCCTACAGGAATAATGGTCCATTTCAGCTAAATTTTCTCAAAATTTTCAGCCTAGGATTTTTATCAATCGACCAGGTGATTACAAATTTTGACAATTTAAATCAATCTGGTATATGCCGAAGACTGAAGATTTTCTTCCCAAAAATCGAAATTTTGTCAATTATGTAAAAAAACATGGATCCAAAAAACTGGAGTTTTTATGTGGAACGTTTATGATAGACCACAAAATCTCGGAACAACAAACGCCTGGTAATCATGGCATGCTTCCTGGAACAGAAAATTTGGAAGAAACCACCCATTTTTATGGGTAGTTGTGGAAAAATTGAAAAAACAGGAAAAAATCACAAAAAAATGTATACTCGAAACTTTCGAAAGGTGAACCTCCACCTCCACAGAAAAAAAAAGTGGCGTTTGCTTAATGCTAAAATCCAGCGATTGAAAAACAATTGAGTGGAGAATATTATCAGTTGGGACATTTATTGGAACAATCTAGGCGTTATTTGCCGAAATTTGTTTTTAAAAAAATGAACGTAAATTTTACATGTCAGTTATGCATAATAATTTATTCAATTCAAAACTCTTCTGTAATTTTCGGATTTGACGTTTTATGTTCATTTAAGTTAATTGTTTTGATAGGTAATGTCATTTTATATTCTTTTTGTATTCGTGAAACTTGACTTTTAAGAAAAAATTTTGTTGGCCCTTTCCTTTTCATAGCAGCGACGTCTAAAATGCCAGATCTCTGAAATAAAATACCGTCTAACTGCCTTTTTGTACAATCCGTCTAATTTGCTTATCGTCTAGGCCCCGTTAGTAATATTTTATCGAGATAGTTTTATAATATAATTGGTTTATAACTACAAGTCCAGAACTGGTTCCAATAGAGTTACAAGTGAGTTTGCTTGATTGCAAATGTGACAAAACAAACTCAATTCTAATTGCGCATGCTAATATACTAAGATCTCTACAATGAGAAAAGACCCTAACTCCCCCTGTAGTTTTTTTATCTAATGATTAATTGAAAAAAAAACTGTTCTCTTATCAATCAAGATGTGCAGGAGTGCTTAAAGATCAGCTCTTTGCTGTAATCGGGGGGAATCCCTTATACCAGGAAGACTAAATGCCCTTGGTTTATGATAACCAATAAGAATTTTGTATTCAAAAATCTGAAAGAATTAAGCTGGAAATGAGAGAAGCTGAGTTATGGATAATTTTTAGCTAATCAGAGTTGTCAAAAATTGTATCTTCTCGCTATTCGTTGAGCGTTTCAATAGAAAACCGAAAACAAATCGACAGACTCAAATAAAAACTTTCTCCCGGCGGACTGTTTGCTTTAGGCGAATCGGAGCGCTTTTAAATGAACCATTCGTGCCTCAGATCTGCCAGCTCGCAACATTTATCAGCTAAACTTCTGCTCGGACAGTTTTTTCGCTCTTTACACATATACGCAACTTCTTCCAAACTTTTGAATTTTGATTGATTGATAAAGTACCGTGAATAAGAAGTTTTTCACGGGTGCGGCTTTGACAAAGATTTTCAAATTTCTTATAAATCAGCCGTTTAGAGTTTTTGAGTTCTTTCTGAAACCCCAAAATTACCACACTCGCCAGTTTTGTTGCTTTGCAGGCATTTTTTTTCGATGGAATTTTTGACCAAAAAAATGAGTTTATGAGCGCACTCCCCTGTCAAAGTTAGTCATTTTTGGTGATTTTTGTGATTCTTGGGTCATTGAGGGACTAACTGGTCTGCCTGAAAAGGTTATCGTAAACTGGTCCCAAAAGATGACCCTTCGGAAAACAAAACAGCCAAGACTTAGTACGACTTGCCAATTTTTTGGTTCAAATAATCGCTTGTTACGAATTGTCTCTTGTTACGAACTTTCGCTAGCTATGGATTGTCAGCTGTTACAAATTGTTGCTCAAACCACCCTATTACATGATTAGCGTAAAAAAGGTCTCTTTCAATATTTTTTCTACTTTTGTTTCATATATTGTTGAAAGCTCATAAAATGTGATTTATATGTTGATCTAGCTGCAATCAATTATTTCTTCACGCTTCTGCTAGCGCCTACCCGCGCCGAAAACAAGTTAAAAAATATTCAAAAACGTATTTTTTTTGCATTTTTGCTTAGAGTTGCTTTTCAATTTGCTTAACTTCGTCTAAAAAGTCAATAATGAGTAAAAAATGATATTGCTTGAAAAAGTCACAACAGTTGTTTCTCCTTAACAAATAGTTTGAAAAGCTTTTTGCGCTCTGTTTCAGCAATACATGCTCTAAATATATTATTATATCTAATACTGGGCATGTTCCTGCCATCGTGTCATACATTTATTATAGTAGCCTTTAAGCTGACTAGATTTTATGACCAGCCGTTCCATGTTAAAATTCGACCTTTTCCATTTGAGGAAAGCTAAGTAAAAAAGACAAAATGCAATTGAATTTACATTTATAACTTTTAATTTACCAGAGTTTGAGTTAGTAGAACTGGCAGGGGTGTGGCTAGTGTATTGCTGTTGTTGCTGCTGCTGTTGTTGTTGTCTATTGTGAGTGCCTCCCCCATGAGTGGTGTCGGGGAGACTGAGTTGGAAAATGAGCCCCCCACTTGTCCCCACCATCAGTTGGTCTCCGTAAGTGGCACAATGAGTCACACAGATATTCTCGTCTTCTTCTGCAAATCACAAAAACCAGTTTCAACAAAAATTAGTGCCGCTAAAAAACCTTTGTCCTTATATTTCCTATTTTTATCGAGGCAAAATAAAAAACACCGCAAATTTTTTTCTCTGGCGTTATCAAATTGTCTAGAATGGATTACTTTATTTACTTTTATTACCTTATATTTACTTTTTCAACAGCCGTACACCCAGGCGCGGATCTAGGATTTGCTTGAGGGCAAAGTTATTAATAAAAAGAAATTTCGATATATCCCCACCACAAAAATCGAATATACTGGCACCAACAATTTAGCGATACTAGACCTAAAGCGGATGACAACAAATGGTACCGAAAGGGGACCCTTTGGGTGGTCAGAAATTCAAATCCTTGAGGAGAATAAACTCTCCCCATCTACCATTGAAACGGTTGGTGGAATTGTTAAACACTTAGAGAAATTTTTGTTTGGATGCATTCCTTGGCGAGTTTTTCCTCAAAAAAAAATATCACGATCATCGTCGTTACAAAAACATTCTCTTTAAAAACAGTTCTTGAATCCCCTAAATGTGCCATTGCGTATACTTTTGACAGTGGCGATGCATTTTGGATCCTTTTTTTTCCAGGTTTTGTGGCCAGTTAATGAGGGTACTAAAATAGAGTTCCTAAGTGAGTTTTTTGGCTTCATAATTCTTGGTAAAAAAGTAGTCAAAAAATATGTTGATTCCTTTTTTTCCAAATTTTGGTTTAGACAGGGGGCATTTGGAACAAAACTGTCAAATTATAAGCCGAAGAGAAAAATTTTCAAAATACTATTTTTTTTATGTATTGTTTACTGTGATTACATGCCGGTATTTTTTTCAACTGACGAAAAATCACAAAAAAGGGACTACATAGTGTACCAAGACGTGAAAAGAGCGTTGAATTCAGGTTTTTTTCTTCTCAGGATTGTTAAAGTAAAAATAAATACCACAAATAATGGTTACTTTGAGGCAATTGACATACATTCAATAAAATTCCTTTCAAACAGTAATTCAATTGACAAAAGTTTTTTGTTTTGTGTTGTTTTAATTTGTGAAGAAGGAACGGTTTTCTTGATATTTGTCGAGTTGTAACTAACTAATTGGGGCATGATGTTACATGGTTGATACTGCAGTCGTAGTTGTTACTCGCAATATTATGAAAAAATAAGAGGTCATGCGTCTTGTGATTGAACAAGAGCGGCACTAATTTGATTTTTTTGAAGTCTACGTTTCTACGAGGTTGTTGAACAACTGAGGATTCATCTACTCGCTGTGTTTTGTACGTCTTCAATTGCCGTATCTAGTACTTCAGGGTGCAGTACCTCCAAGGCGAAGAGTGCGAGATGAGCAGGTGGCTCGAATGGATCTTGAGTCTTGAGAGGGAAAGGGGGGCTTGTGCGTGGATCCGGGTGAAACTTGGATTCACGAAAAAGAAGTTTTAACAAAGCAAATATTGTTATTAATATACTATATTTATTATATAAATCAAAATGCTGCATGACAATTTCCTGGTTGAATAGGACAAAAGAAATTTTAAATGATTGGCTTGGAAAGCAAGAATTCAAGGGTGCAGGTGTGTGCAGATTTTGATTGCTGTTTAGCGATAGTGTGAAAATTTTACATGGCTGTGAATTTTGGGGTGTAGATAAGCTTAAGTCTGCTGCAAACTTCTGTAAATGACCACTGGCACTGTATCTTGAGTAACACTCGGTTTTCTGGGATTCACTGGCAGAAGACAGCACGCGATGAGGACATCGATCTCGAGTCCGGGGAGTATGTGCCAGTCGGTCATATTCGGAAGTTTGACCTTGAGAGAAGAAAAAAACACTTGATTCGTGAATTTCATTTCCAGTTCCAACAGTTTGGTTTTTTTAGAGTCAAAAGTTTAAAGTTCAATCGCTCAAAAAATTCTCCCAGAACTGGTAGAAGTGAAATTGGTCTATAGTCTGATGGGTCATCGATTTAGGTCAATGATGGGTCATCAGATCTTTTTTCGTCGCGCAAAGTCAATCCGTACCCATTTGAGTCACTATGGTCGCATACTCGTTTGGTGTTGCAGGGGTCGCGAAAAAACGCCCGACTTCTGATCGGGAGCCTAGTAAGAAAAATCGACAATAAATTTAATAGAGGGACAAACTCTGCTGATATATCAAAATAGGACCAAATCTGCCAATGGATTCATAAGACAAAATCTGTCGTCAAGAGGAAACCTGTTTGCACCAAAAACTAGCACGAAAAAACCAGATGCAAAAGTTTAGCTTAACAAAAACAGCTTCCATAAACCTTAAAAACCATCAGAAATCTCCTAGTTTATGCGATTGTTCAGAAAAAACAAGCATATATGTAACAGAAAATAAATTGAAGATTTGAATTTAATCTGATATACATTTTGATTGAAATAAATTAGCTCAAAAATTGATATCGAAGGTTGATTGCAGTGAATTAAAATCTACAATTGCACTGAAATTGGAACATTTAAACAAAAAACGTAAGACAGGATACGAATAAGGGGTTCAACAACACACTAAATTCTCTTTTTAGTGTTTTCCGTATCAAATTGGTAATTTTCATCAATAATTAATTATCATCAATTTCTTGAAAATTGTGCCAGTCGGTCATAATCGGAAGTTTGACCTTGAGAGAAGAAAAAAACACTTGATTTTGGAGTGAAATTTAGTTTTTCAAAATTTCGAATGGAACCTGTCATGCACGATTTTCTCGCGATAACTGAAAATCAGAAAAAGAGAAGTCAGAACAATCGAGTAACAATCGCGGGAAAGTTGCTAAATAAAACGGTGGGAAATTGCTATTCGCAATTTCTGTCACAATAGAACAAGAGTAGAGCTGTCCCATCTAAAACAGAGACGAGAGCATTCCCACGAACTGGATTGTTGTGATTGGAGTACTATTATTAACTGGACCAGAGTGAACCTTCGGTGGAAAGGTGGACAGCTAGAGTGTCCCAATGGTTCACGAGAACTTACAGTCTAGAGAAAAAACTTGTTCTTATTATTAAAACTGACTAACATTAAACTCATTTTAGTTACTTTATTAATTCTTGAGTTGCTTACCGACTTATTTACTTCCTGGTTCTTGAGCGTGCTACAATGTGAGTACTTAATTTAAATTCCTAGAGTGTGTTTTATAATTGTTATGTTGAGGTAAGGCGAGTTTTAGGTTGATCCATCTGAAATGGATCAAAGTTCCACTGTCTAATAAAAAGTAACTTAACGGATTGTTCCAACCCGGTTTTTAACGGCGTTCATGTATTTTGGGTATCTAGAGACCTAAGTATGGGGACGTTTCTAATTCTAGAGTGGGGGGATATTTTAGTAGTAGCCTTTAAGCTGTAACGGGTCGTAGTCTCATGTCACAAACGAACCGAACTGGCTCCGACCGTTCTTGACGTAGAAAAACACAAGAGATGGTGTCCCTGACCCTTGAGCCAGTGGTTATAGGGCCTATTTTTCTTAAGCCTCATGTGTGACTGCAGTAGACGAATGTTACAAATATTGTTTGAGTAGATTTTAAGGATTCAGTTTTCTTGGGATTCGTTTTCACTGGAATAGAAGTACATTATATATTGTGTCAGAACCACTCTCAGATGAAGCATTGTAAGCACTATTGGATGACGAAGACTGCATCGTGTCGTCTATGCCTCGACCAATCAGAAGCAAGTACGACTTATTCAACGTCATTGTAGAAGTAAAAGTTCTTGCCACACTCTGCATTCGGTTTTTGTTACGTAATGAGGAACTGTTCGCTAGACCTCGGCCTAGAGGCGTAGCCGAGTTGCTTCCGACAGCGGCGCCATTGTTTCCCGAATTTCGCAGAGGTCGTCGGGGAAATCCGAAGTCAAAGTCACTTTTTCTCTTCACTTGGGATTGATACGTGAAAGGGTGTATGAACTTCACCTGAAATGATTGAGGGTTCAATTTACATTGGCAAAATGACGAGCTGGATGTGATATTAAAAAAACAAGTAAATGTGATTCTCAAAGACATGATAGGACAATACAATCTCCATGATATAACTCAAAATTTATGAACCGTAGGACAGAATAAATACCTGTTAATTGTCAATTGCATCGCTGAAATAACATCTTCGCGAATTTTAATCTGGAAGCTAAGACCTTCAGAAAGATCGAAGGTGAATTCCCATAGGTTCCAATATTCATAGGTTCCAAAATAAAAAATCAGTCGCATAAGTTCCAAAATTTATCTTCTTGAATTCTGATTGGTTGAAATTTGAGCCAACGAATTTATGGATTAATTGTTTACTGTTCAACCAGCATAAACTCAAGCTGCAGAACAGTGACTGCCGCAGCCGCGCCAACGTGTTGCGAGCTTGCCACCAAAGGGTAGGATTCTATACGAAATTTAGAGCCGGTTATTGCCGCGAAGCCCACCGGCAACCTTAAGCCGAGACTCGGCTAATTTAGTCTTTTGACCGATTGAAAAGATTTGGAACTTATGCGACTGCTTTTTTATTTTGGAACCTTTGGGACTGATTTTTTATTTTGGAACCTATGAATACGCACCAGATCGAAAAACACCAACAACTTTGCCGCTTGATTCAGCTATTTCGGTGGCGTACCTCACGCTTGAAGGACCGAATGCTTGAAATCAATTTTAGCTTCCTTTGAGCCAATCAGAATTGAGTATTCAAAATATCAAAGTAAATCGCAAAAATCACAAAGTAAGAAAATAAATCCAGGCAGTTAAGGTTAATACTGACCGATTAGATAATAAGCAGATGAGTTTTCAAATATTACCGGATCGAAGGTGGATTGGAACAAATTTAATATTTCAAAGATACCGATTTATGAAAAATGGAAAAACAAACAAAAAATAAAATTTATTAGATCTGCACGAATTGTACAGCTTAAAACATTTTCTGTTTTTTTTGACTTCGATTTTGTGGGAAAGGCATTTAGCCAATAAGTACGCTTAG